AACATAGCATACGCAAAAGTCCCATAATTGGTCGCGGAGTGCGAGGCAGTCGGAAGTAGGAAGCAGTACGTCGCCATACCGTACCGACGCTTCGCTGCCACGCGACCACCGCCAATCGCACGAGAGCTAGGTACCATAAAGTACCGAATATAAGCCCGTCCATAGATAGTTCGACAGTATAACTTTGCGAGATCAAACTTGTCCAAAGTTGTACGTCCCTGTACTAGCCGACCCCTAAAAAGTCAGCAGTAGAGAAACAAAATTGTTTCTCCACCATTTTGATCTCAGCACTACCTGCTCTCACTTGAGTGTGTTCAAATAAATCCTGCTCTACTACTGGTCAGTTGTGGTGACCGTAATGTGTTATAATCGCGGTTAATGGGGCGTAGGACGGTCAGAACAGACTTTCACAGCACTGGACAGTGTAGTGACCAGATGTTAAGTCAAATGAAACAGGTAAGACAACCGACAATATAAGGTAAGATGAGAGGCTATCAGATAGGCTGCCTCGAATAGTCGGGGGCCTCATGCATATGAACTACAGAAATGCAGTGAATGAGAGTGAAGTTCACGAGCAGAGGTGTGGGACGACGTCGTACTTTTAAGGCACCGGAGCGCCTGGCATAACATAAAGTCTGTGGGCTTTGGATTCGCTAATGCCATCTGTCGCGAACGTCAAATGTGCAATATACCGAAAACTTTCAACACAAAAATAACGCGTCCAGTTATAGGCACTTCAAATCCCCGTCGGGAATACCATCTGTCACAAGCGGGGGTGCCAAGGGGATAAGAGCGTTGATATACAGTGAATTCCACGGTGACATTCTTCAAATTTCAAAAAGCCTTTCTATAATTCGATCCCCCAACCTAGAGAAACGAAAACTGTCCAAAATTCATTGGCTTATATTCGGAATTATACGGTATATCGCGGGGGAGCTCGCAACTACATGGAATCGAACCGACGACCTTCAGGTTACAACGCAGGCGCGCAACTCTTCCGACCATCGGCAGACAAGAAAGGAAGGAGCAGGATAAATTCAATTACCGAGAAAAGAATACTGAAGCTGTTATGAAAATTAGGAACAGTGATATGATATATCAGAAAACTTGTGGCTAAGAGGGTGCTGAAGGTTTCCAAGGTTCCTCGCTGGCGTCAACAGAGGGTCTACAACGCTTGTGCTGTAATCAGACGAGGCGACGTACAGGATTTGTGAAGTAGCCACCTAACAAGAGGGCGAAGTTCGACAACTCAAGAGGAAGCGAGAAAACAAGTGCGTTAGCTGAATTTTCGGCGCTCGGTAAACCGTGGGTCAGAGTGGCTTATGCGCATTAAAGAGTCCCTGACCTAGCGCAATGTGTGTGCGGTGCACCGCAAAGAGACGGAGTACAGTAACAGTGTGTATGCGCGCACTCACATAAATGCGTGCAGATTGTCGAACTGCGCGTTCACATAATGACCGATATAGGGTTCAATCAACTTAGGTGGCGCGTTCGGTAGTCGATCGATAGTACGAATGAACGAATTCTTTATGCGTATCAGTGTGCTGGGTATCCATGCGGATCAGCCAAAAGGTGCTGTGTTCGACCTGTGCACACATGGAGCTAAAGGAGGAGAAAGGAGCAGGTGGACAAATCAGCTCTGCGAATCAGGAATCTGATACAACACCCTGGAAGCAAAGAACCAGGTGAAATCTTATGTCAATGATAAACAACTGTTGGTCAGGGAGCATAGAAGGCCTGGATGTGAAGGCAAGCTGTTCTGGTGAGGAAAATTGAAGAGACGATAAAACAGAATTGTGCTAGCAAGCACAAGCTGTCTAAAGGCAATTAGGCTAGCTTGGTGAAGGTGTTGAAATGGAAAAAATAACCATTGCTATTAGCCAGTGGTTTGACCGGCGTGAAGAAACCTCATACCCAAGTGAATGATGACGTGTTGAAGTGCCGAGTTACTCACCGAGCTGGATAAGATCGCTGCAGATCCTTCACCGCTAAACGAGGTGGTATTGGGGGGGAAATAGTGAACAGCTTGTCAGGAATACTCGAGCTAATGTTTATGTAAAATAAAGATGCCAGAAGCCGCAACGTATCCTGTTCGGATCTCTGTTATCGCATTCATGGGTCTTCAGAGTATTTCCATGTGTTTGTGTGAAGCTTGTTGCCACGTAGCATCGCTCCTCTTGGTCAAATCAGAGAATAGCCGTGTGGTACATTGAACGAAGTTGAACAGGCTGTTCTGTTCGTCGTCTGGTGACCGAAAGGATTGCGCACCTGCGTTGTAATCCTGGGGTTGATGGTTCGGGTGTATAGTTGAAGGAGTAGCACCATGTGGACGGGGACCACAGATGTATGACAAGAAGCGGCTTATCATGAATACAAATTAATTAAGACAGCCTGAGTAACATCGAAAGTTTACCTGCTAAGGATGGTGGTGAGGTCCTCTACAAAGAACTGACTTACATGTTCGAACAGGTCTGGAAGGATGAGACCATCCCACCTAACTGCAGTGAACCGATTATAGAGGCAATATACAAGAATGGCAGTCACAATGGTGCTAACCACAGGGGTATTGGTCTAATGCCGGTGGTGAAAAAACTACTGGTTTCAATTCTCGTTCATTGACACTGCGGAACGGGGATTCCCGGATCAGGGAAGAGCAAGCAGGCTTCCGCTGAGAACGGGGATGTATAGACCATATATTTATTCTGCTGCATGTGCCAGAGCGGCGCCACACGTGCCGCAGACTGACAACAGCTGAGTTATCGAATTTAATTGTGTATTCGACGCAATCGACCGATTCATTCTGGTCGAAACGCTTGTGCGGAAAGGTGTTCCCATGAAATATGTCGACATTCTAAATGCTCTGTACTCGAACACCACAGTGCAATAGCGGATATCTTCCCGATAACAAGTAGCGTTCGTCAGGTTTGCTTAATTGCCCCATTTTGTTCAACTTTCCTATGGACTTATCAAGGAGTGTTGCTTTGCGGAATCTCATGATGCAGGTGTTGAGGTGCAGCATGGTAAAAAAACTAGATGATCGTGATTATGCGGACGATGTTACTTCGCTGTTTAACGAGATTGAGGTGACCCAGTCAACACCGAATAACCTCCCTAGACCGGTCGCATTATTTGGCATGCGCTTCGCATCTGCAAAGTGCAGTGCTGTTACAATACCACTAACCACTTGATGACCCATTGATCCTTGCAGGCGAGGAACTCGATGAAGCTGATCAACTCACTTACCTTGGAAGCTACATCAGCAACGATGGGCGCATGACTGAAGTTCATGTGTTGCAAAGGCTAGTACTGCCTTCGTGAATCTGTAACATCTTTGGAATCAAGAAGGGGTTTCCCTCGGTCTGAAAGACCGTGTTTACATGGCCACATTGAGGGCCGTATTGCTCTATGGTAGTGAGACTTGGTCCTTTCGATCTGAGGACCGGAGGCGCCTTCAAGTCTTTGATCATCGCTGTCTGCGGAGCATTGCTGGTGTCGAGTGGCACCAGCGTGTATGCAATTGTGCTGTGCGTAGACGAGTACTAAGCAATGATAACCAAGTTAGCTCTTTAGAATAGATAGCACTGAATAAGTTGTGTCGGCTTGGGCATGTACTACGTATGCCCGGTCACTGCTTACGGAGGAGGGCCCTGTTTTGTCTGCCAGATGTGGGATGGTGCAAGGATCGAGGTGGACAAATTTGATTTGGCAGCGCGGAATGGATTCAGTGACGACCAAACCCAGTGCCGTCGGTCCATCTCGTCTTCCAGGCTGCGGTCCACGTGATGCGCTTCGTGCTTGGCTCGAGATGTTACATAACATGGCTCGCAGTCGACACCAGTGGCGTATCTGCTATCGGCTCCTAGTCGGATCGCCTAGTTGGAGTTTATGGTGATGAGTCATCTGGGGGGGGGGTAATGACTGATTATGACGGGAAGCAGTGAAAGTCGCAAGGAAGCTGTCTCGCCGATGCCGCCTTATCTTTGCACGATATCCAGCTGTTCGTGACGGGATGTTATTGACGCAAGGCGTGTGCGTCTTGACTCTGAATGTTTGCTTAGGGCCTTAAGGTTTTCAGGTAAGTCTCCCTTCTCTCCCTCGTGTTTTATTTTGTTCCGTAGGTCGTTGTGGTTGTACGGCAGCGAGGCATTAGTTCAAATGGTTGATGTACTGCTCTTGATGATGACGACCTGATAACAGGTAGAATATATATTTGCAAAAGTCTGCGAATAGACATGGAGCCATGAAAAACCATGGAAATCAAAGGAAGATACAGTTATCGTAAAAATAAGACGGAAAACAACCGAAAGTCCATGGTTTAAGCAGAGAGCGCGATATTACCCGGTTGCCCAGGCTGAGGTAGGGACACCATCCAGAGCTTTTGGCTAAATAGTCCGCACGCAAGGCAGCGGAGCGTATTTAGGGAATCGCGCCCATTGGGAGCCGGTGAATGATTGTTGAATTCATACGCCTTTCGTTTGATCGATTGCCAAACAGGGGCCCAGTCCTTCAACAGTTTCAACATCACACTGCTGGAATACAATGCTCTACCAAAGAGAAGCAAGGGGCAGTGAATTTGTTGAGTGGCCAATCACATTTGCCACGTCACGGTGTTGTTAAACGGACGTGGCTTTTTATAAGGAGAATACTTGTCAGGTGAAAACCAACCACATCCTGGAACACCGCTAGATGACGGGTACAGGTGCGCGTTACCTCGCACAGTCAGTGGCAATAATCTTTGTCCCTGAAGGACTCACTTTTGCGATAAGGTGAGTCAAGAACATTAGACCCACCGCAATTCGGCGCAAGGGACAGAGTTAACCGGTCGAACGGGATTGCTTTGTCAAACGTCGTCGGGCGCCAAACGGACTGCATCATGTCAAAGGAATCTCAAGGATATCGTTTCGATGATAGATGGGTGTACGGTGAATAATAAGATAACCCCGGCGGATAGTGCCAAATCGTATGAACATTGGATGAAAGAGTAACAAGCTACGGCGTACCCAATTTGTGCTTCATCACAATCTCAGTGCGGTCGATTTCCCACACATCAACTTCTGGGCTCAATTCCGAAGATAATTTGTCTCGTTTGGCCGTCGGATAGAGGAGAGCGCAAGCCAATCCATCAGCCTGTTTCTCATGATGATGCACCAAATCGTGGATGGAAGGATATGTTGCACTTTCAGTTACGTAGTACTGAAGAAAGAAGCGGGGCAAACAGTAAGTGTGCCGGATAAAACAGATGGAGTTGAAGGGATATCAAGTGCTGATTTTATACCAGAGCTGGACGTGGATATAAATGAGGCAACTCAAATGCGACGAAGGAATACGGAAAGTGGTAAGCATGAGTGGCAACAACTGCATGAACTTGCCAAGGTGACGGGGGTGAAAACCTGAGTAGGCAGGCATCAGAAGTCCCCTGACACGCAGTAACGACGCTTCGCTTTCGCGCAAACCCCATTAGTCGCACGTGGGTTAAGGATACTGTGAGTGTCACCATGCCCCTATGCAGACTCGAACCTGCGTCGTCAGATTACCTTGTTGCCCTTAGGCTACGGGCCAGAGAACACCTGAATTAGGGAGTGCGGTCAATGTTAGAGCACAGGGATGAGAAAAGCATGATTATTCCTAGTGATTCAAGAGTGGAGAAGTAATAATAATAATAATAATAATAATAATAATAATAATGTGTCAGCTGTACGCCGTAACGGCGCTTCGCTGCCGCGCGACCACCACCAGTCACGCGCGGGCTGAGTATACCGCGAGGACGCCCACCCCTACGCGGATTCGAACCAGTTGTAAAGCAAACGTGCAGACCACTCGGCCACCGGCCGACAGAGTGAAGAGACTGGAAAGTACGGCCACTGGTGCAGTGTCATGGGATGGAGATGATAATCGCTCGTTTATCGCCTCAGAAAGATGTGACATGAAAAGTCCTAGGAAGTCCTTGATATGGCATGGTAACGGATTATCAGTGAAACAATAGCAGATATGGGTGGTGACGAAAACCGAAAGGATGCAGCTACGCAAACACTGTCTCATCTGCGTACGATACCTGAATATTTAACACTTGGTATGAAAAACTTTCCCGCTCAAAAACCGCGAGTAAGTTACACGAGCTTCGTTAGACAATCCTAGTTGTGAACTTAGTGTATCGAATAGCGTTGCCCAACGTACAAGCCGGCGTCATGAAGCAAGCGATAAGAGATTCAGATGCAAGCACCCCAACAATGACAGTTGGATTTTTGACCAGTCAGCATATATCGACCAAGGCAGGAGGACAAACAATCGATGTCGTCGTCTGGTTCGAATCGCCGCATAAGTTATCTGTGCTGTGATCGGAAACACAACAGTTTCTTAATCAAAGTAGATGGATGATAAAAGTTGAGATATGTTAACATTTCGAACGCTGTCGTCCGTTGCATAAGCAACACATTTGAGAATCAAGTAACGTATGCATAAGTGGAACGAAAACACACGAGTAAAATAAAGTTGGGCGGTCAATAACGGAGCGATCTGATAGACTGCTTCAGTTGCTTTCGAGCACACAATACCGGTTTACTGCATTCGATAATGCCTCACTGAGCACCAGCATTTTTAAGTCGCGTTTGATCAAGAGCAGAGCCTCCGATGGATCCATGTAATGGTCAGTCATCATAAGGTGCTTTGTAACAAAAGAAGTGGGGTTCCGGCTCTGCATTTGATCCATCCCTGTGTGTGGTACCATGGATTGTCTCAAGCACTTTGAGGTGTGCTCGGTGACCGTTTAAGCCAGTCGCCAGTTGGTCGTGCCTATATAGATGTCACCGCAACTGCAGATAAACTAGGAAATAACATGAGGCCAAACCGACTGACGAACTATTCGGACGATAATTAAGATCAAGTCTCTGTGTGGTGTGGATAATCCGTAGACATGCGATTGTATAGGTGAGCATGTTGGCATACCTAATTCTCTTAATCACATTCCTTCGGGTTCGTTTGTCAATGGCTTAAACACGAATCACCAACCGACAGTGTGTAATTCGGTAGACCGCATATGATAGGGGGGAGGGTCAACATGCCTGCGAAGGACGCAAACTGACGAAGACGGGCAGTCCAAGCACAAACAAAAGTTCGGCGCGGCATGTCCAGGACCGCGCGTACCGAATCGTGATTATTAAACAAGATGGTGCCGTCTACGTAGTGTAAATCAATTAAATTTTACCAGACAGAACATTACTAACCGCATCATGGGACCTGTAATGCGACATTTCATATTGGAGTTCTGGAGAAAAGCGAAAAGAACTGGAGAACTGGTACCATTATGGTAAACTCCCTTAGCCAAGAAGTTGTTCGATGATTCGCCGCAGAACCGGATGTCACCGGGTATGTTAAGGCACGCGGTGTTCGAGGAACGCGGATATGGTCAGACAGCAGTATGTACGACGACGTTCTGGCACTTACCATAGTGAAAATATAGCAAACGCAGCCCTAAACCGGGCAAAAACTGAAACTATTCTTGTCTCATTCGTGATCCCAGTCCGCAGTAAGACAGTGAATGTAGATCATTAATTCTTCGTACGATCGTCAGGTTGAAACCCCTGAGACTAGCAGAAACGGTGTAACCGTCTTCCTCGACTGCTGATATTATAATAGACTAGCTTTAGTTATGTAAGACAATCTATTCCCTCCATACTCGGGTCGGTTTGTCATAAGACGTTTCGCTACCAGTCTTAAATAGCAGGAGTAGATAGCAGAATCCCAGCAGGAAAGCATCTACTGTCACAGACGATGGTGAACACAATAAGAAGGTTAGTTATGGAGACCGGGAGAGATGTCAATGAGACGAAAATCAGTAGTAAAATGTATTCGCCTATCCGTCCTACTGTATGCATCAGACAAAGTGACAGTTATGTAATCGTCTGATAGCCAATTCATGGTGTATCAGACGCTTGTGAGGAATGTCACGGTTACAGACTGGAACACTGTCAGGCAACCCAAAGTTAGACAGGAGGATTATCAGCGTCGTCTACTAAAGCCATTGGCTCAAAAGCCGGATCTTTTCCAGTTAAGCCCCGCCACCCAAAAAAGATTATGAAAAGGGAGGATATGGAACTTGAACTTTTACTCTCTATTGAAGAGGGTAAAATTGAGACAAGTCATTAATAATTTGCATGAAAAGGTCCATTTTTCGGTGTCTTTGCCTCCAAACGAACTCAAACAGGTAGCTGTCCACTAAAGATCAGTGTGTGCCGCATTGGCGCTTATTCTGCATCTTGTAAATGTGCCAGAGAGATTCGATGGTTTGTATGTGAGCTCCAGTCGTTGGATCCACAAAGTTTTCGGTATGATTAACCGTTTGATGAGTATAACTCATGCCAATCATCGATTCAATGCCTTGGTATGATGCCCACATATCGGAAATGATAATTGAGCCGGGAGCGATGCAGGCCTGGATTGTGTCCAGCAGAGTGGCCGCAGTTCGATCTGGCACTGCATACAAGAACACTTCTTTAGTCTCCCGGCAAATCCCTCCGAAAATCCACTGCTGAGGAAGGACTCACCCTGAATGATTTTTACGACGTGATATTAGGGTTTCATCGATCTCGACATGTAGACCTGGGCCACCGACAATCGTTGGAGTCTGCAAAAGCTGCCAGGCGCAAATTTCACGCAGAAAGTTCTTCCAGTCGACAGCGGTCGCGTGGCTATTAGATAACTCCTCTGAGCAGAATTTGATTGTTGTCAGATTTTTGGACCAGCAATAAATGAATAGGGTTATTGTCCTGAAATCCATCCTAGACCGCTCCAGCCAAGTTCCCTTTCGAAGACCGATTTCTTGCCGACACTGTCGGGCATCACACCTCCACCTGTCAGAAACAGTTGAAAGTGTCATTTGGTGTCCTCGTCTGCATAAACGTTGATGATGAATCACTCCATGGTTTGCAAAAAACGTATTGCTGTTTCCTTGTCATGAACGACCGCCGAAAGCGTCAAAAAGTTCATGTCAGGTTTTACGTGCGAACGTAGAAACTTTTTGGACAAAAATGACCTTAGAAGCGGATAAGGAGTGCTTTTATGGGGCACGTTCACATGCATTACGTACACTGGAGCTGGCAAACAGTGGCGGGGCTCAACTTTTCACGCGTACCCTTTTTGCACTATCGGTGGGGCTTGACTTTTCAGGTGTACCCTTTTTGCCTTAGTGGCGGGGCTTAACTTTTTGCGCGTGCTCTTTTTGCATTAGTGGCGGGGCTTAACTGGAAAAGATCCCAAAAGCCTGACCACAAAAAAGCAGGGATGAGATAACAATCGCTTTCACACAAATTCACGCTGCCTCCCTTCAAACTTTTAGCCCGAAGGATAATGACACTGAATCTATGACTACTATCCATCGCCTATACTGGGAAGAGCATCTCTTAAGACGCTAGAGGTGCGCAAATCGTCGCACCAGGACTCGGTCTTGGTGGGACGTAAAATGAGTCAGGTAGTCCGGATAGACGAGTTGTTCCTCGTACACATTAAGAGAGAACGATAGTAAGGCGCGAATACATAATCTGACATAAAATCAGCTGTGCCACAGAGGTATCATCGCAACTTACCATGCCGTTGTCATCTCGGTTGATGCGATAATGACAAATACGACCCTCGTGTCGTAAACTGATAGTGAACTGACCAGGCTTGCTCTCCGATTCACGGACGAGAAAGCTACCAGTGATCCCACTGTTCAACAAATACTCGGCATACGTGCGCTGGAGTGCGCCATGATACCACTTCTCCGCATCTAGTCCGACACCGGACAGACTAGCCTGGCTACCGTGACCGCTAGTTGCTCGGCTTTGGCTTTGCTGAAATGTGACAGAGCTGCCACCGACCCCAGTGATACCAATGGGACCCAACGCGAATGGATTGTTGGCCGTGGTGTAGTTGGCAGGAACCCAGCCTCGTTCACCGGTCCGGAGGCATTCGACGTCTGCCCAGTCCCCGTCGGCACTGAAGCCGAACATTCGGAGCTTGTCGTCTGGAGAAGAAAAAAGAAGGGAAATGAAAATGCACCAACTCGGGACTTCACAGCCTTATCGCGTTACGACTAGTAAAAATACCCACCCAGAGTGTCCAAGGAATGGAAGATGGCAGAGAAGCTAACCCGAAGACATCGCATATGGAGTCTACATCAGTAAATACCATTTGCAGGTTAAAATGGGCGTTTTTAAATCTAAAAGTGAGTATAGCTTAATGTTTGCGTAGGCTATCAGTAACTTATTGGAAAGGAAAAGATAACAACATCGAGGAGTCAGTTGATGAAAGGTTGTCCCGCTGCTACTTTTGTTAAGTTCATTATCATATTGAGGGCGCAATTCACTCAGTACTGCTGCGTTACCATTCTGAAACCCACTTGAATGGCCTTAAATGGCGCCTAGCGAAACGTCAGGTTGATCGGTAGGTGTCTCTTTGACATCTTTGTCTTCGAAAATATATCTTTCGTCGAATTTAACAATTAGGAGTAATGCGGCAGGAACCGCAGGTGACATGACAAATTCCGTTCAGAATATAATGATGAACTGGAAAAAAGTAGCAGCAGGACAGCCTCTTATCGAGGTTGGTATTTTCTTCCTTACGAGGAAATTGTCGACGTCTCAGAAAACAAATAAACTGTGTCCAATTTGATCTGAAAAGGATCCATTTCGATTTGAAAAACGTGCAAGTTTGATTGGTAAACGTTTAGTGGAAATGACACATAACTACATAGTTGTTTGAAAGTACCGCCTACGTTGTATGCGTGTGGGATAATTTGGTAAATAAACAAGGATGTATCGGCTTCACAAAGGTGCTGCTAGGCCTCATCTTTGAACACTCGAAAGCTATTTTTCCTAATTCTGGTAGTGATCAAAAGAAATGTGAAACGAATAAGTTACATGGGAGAAAAACCGTGCAGCATACAAGGCTTCCATTAACGGTGTCGCCGCTATCAATGAAACCATAGGTGATTCGTAAGACATGTATAAAACGATCGATACATACGGCAAGACAAGAAAGAGACCAGTAAGGCAAACAACGGGATGTAATGAGTAGAACTACGGGCAAACGAGAAGCACGGCGGCTCAACAATTGGAAAAACATGATCAAACTAACCTTTTTCAATGGAAATCTGTGACTGGCAATCAGATGCGTTTGAAGCATTGAAGTCATACAGTGCGAGGATTAGCTGATGTTGAGGATAAGATCGATCGTGAGACAACGAATCTTTGGATGGCTGTCCAACCCATGGGCCAGCTGAAGGGGAAACACAAGACAGACAAGCGAAACAGTTCAGAATTCGGGCACCAGTTCTCCGAATCGAAATCAGTAGCTACAAAAAATGCCGTTAAGAGAGCAACCAAGTATGGGCGGTAAGAGTAACTAACAAGTGAGTGGTTATAATGAGAGTGAGAGTGCTCATGTCAAGGGCCTTAAGAAACAGTAGCTCAGGTTTGCGAGCAAGCATAAGAAAAAAGGAACAGTATAGAAGATAAAGGGCATGCAGAAAGCATAAGTAGCAAGTAATGCACACCGGAGCGAGATATTAGACCCCCATAAAAAATTTTTTACGAACAGTTGTTTGTGTGCACGCGTGGTTGGCGAGCCCGATGAGTAGAGGGGATTGAGCGGTAATGGAAAGAAGGGCGCGTGTTTATGAAACGAGGTGCCAGTAGATGAAAACATGGAAGCGTATTGGTTTTAGTTATAACGTTGCCGATTTGTAATCTTAGTGGGAGGAACGCCCGTTCTCAGAAATTGCAGCGCCATGTGGAGTATCGAAGTGAGAATGTGTTAGATGTACAAAGGGAGACAAGATAGCGAGGGGGGCTTGGAATCTCCAGGGATCAGTTCGTGGATGGATGCAATCATGGGTTGCAGGCGTTGGAGCCCGTGTGATATTGTGTACGAGTGAGAGTATACGTTATTAAGGCGATAGATCAGACAATCTCGATTGATGGGGCAAGCGCATGGGCGGAAGGGTGTGCGCCCGGGGACGGCTGCGGGGTGGTGCTCAAGTTAGAGGAAGTGTTTGCTAGCAGCGTATTGTAGGGGGTTTGGGGATGACGAGTTGGATGTGAGCCCTACGCCAGTCCGGCATTACATGATAAGGATTTCGTCCTGATTTGGGGGTACCCATAGCAGGCGTGTCATTGTGGCCTTACTAGAGCTGGGTGAAGGGTGGCGGTGCATCCTAAGCTGGGGGGGTTAGTATAGTTGAGATAGGTAGGGAAAGCGCGATGAGGTGAGAATAGAGAGGGGGTACGTAGGTATATTAGGGTTATGAGATAGGGAGAGCGAGAGTATAGTGGTGTGTGGTGCGAGGTCATCGCGTGTTTAGCGGTGACGAGAGATTGCGCGATGACACGAGTGTGGTCAATGCCGCTCAGGGGGGACGCGTCGTAGCGGTGAGCCGATGCTCGTGAGGGTACCATGTATGGTGGTGGCGGGTGCGCTGCGAGACACCGCGACAGATAGCGAGACCACATTACCCCATATCCAGTGTAGAGGACGCGCTAGAGTGAATAATGACCGTGATGGGTGCGAGTGCGGTATGTGTGGCTAGAGCGACGAGTGTGTTCAACAAGCGTGTGAGCCGGGCCCGACACTCCTGCACGAGGCAAAGAAACAAGCACGTCTGCATTGGGAATCAACCGCAACATAAGTGGCGTAGTGTGCGTGTAGCCGTGTAGGCGCCCGGCACGCGAGCACGTGGTGAGTGCATGGTAGAGCGCGTGCTTCGTGGTTGAGCTAGGCACGCCGAGCGAAAACGCGTGCAGCGGAGCCCTTCCGCCGTACCGAGCGAGAAGACCGAACGTCTGGATGTCTGAGCCAGTATGGAAGCGATTTAGGTTGGTGTAGATATAGCAGACAGGGTAGGGCACCGTTTGTCGACAGTACACATCAAGCGCAACCGAAACCAGTGGGGATAGAGGGTCCAACAACAGGGTCATGGTCACTTGAAACGAGCAGAGCTGAAATGGATAAAATAAAGACCAATAAGGGACACGATGACAGTATACGGTGGCATTACGTGCTCTGCGTGGAAATTACCAATGAAGTAGAGGGGGGGTTGGTAGCAACAAGAGATGCTGTGAATAGAGTAGAGAGAGGATGGTCGGCAGCGAATTAGACTTGAGGTGTAATGGTGCCTACAAACGGCAAGGCAAAATTACCGAAGATAAGCGCAATGAGTGTAAGAAACTGTGGCCAGTTAATAATAGAACAGTTAGAGAGTGCAGGTGATGGTGCGAGGAACATACAAATAGAGTTTAGAGGGGGAGTGTAATTGTTGTGAATGATGTAAAATGAATTATAGTATTGAGGAAATGGTAAGTGTTGTTGGGTGTGTAGACCAACTGCGTGAAGAAGTGATTCATAGTATGGAATATTCTGAATCAGCAGTTGTGGCACACATACAGTACGATAGGTATGGCGGAATCCGGTGTCGTTATTTGACCGTGAGCACGTGGTGTGTGCAAATGCCGAAAGGACGCTGGCGCCTAGCAAGTGGACAGCATGTGAGAGGGCATGCGCTTGGCGAGCGCAGCCCAAGGCGACAACCCATACCCCCAGAGACACCATTGGTAAACTCAGAAGGAATAGAGATACGGGATGGCAAATGGGGACGGTTGGAAACGTTGCACAGATCTAGGTATGTCACACGGAAAAATGCAGCTAGAAGCGAGGGAAGAAAATGAGTTACGTGATTGTGGATGTTGGGGTAGCAAGCACAGAACATGATAGGAGGGGCTGGAGCGTGATGTCGCGCGTCCAAGTAAGGAGTGTCATTGAACGCGTGTGCTAGCGGTTAGTGGAGCAGCATAGCGAGCTGTGCCGCCGAGATGAACCGTGGGCACGGGCGCCGGTTCCACGTCCAGCGTAGGCTCGCGCAACGTGTCTGCTGGGATGCCAGTGATATAACGTGAGTTTTGACAGTGGTAGAGTGGGGTGGGGAAGACGCGTTGAGTGGAGTCACCAGATGATCGAGACGAGTATCGACATCGAGGCTCTCTGACTCGGCATAGCCGGAGGGGATATCGAAGACAACAGCGAATGATCACATATAAGCATCGAAGTGCAATAGGCGAAATTTAAAATATAGAATCCGAGAAGTACGAGAGATCAGTGCACAGACTGAGCGTGTGTGAGGCTATAGATACTACGATGCGGTGTCTTCTACTAACGCATATGTGTGTCACTTAGCGAGTGTGTATGTTAAGCAACAAGCAGATCGGTAGTAATAGAGTGAAAAGTCCAGCAAGAGACGGCTTAGGATGGCTTTCGCAGACACTGAGCAGGCTCCTGATCTAGTTGAGCAGTAGTGAAGTAGGAGAAGTGGCTCGAGATAGTTATGTAGAGAGCAGAAGTTAGTGGCCGAGTATGAGAGTATGGGAGACGACAGGGTACGATTCGCGTGTGGATTCTCGCTTTAGACAGAACCGCTAGAGGAGAATCGGAATGAAGAGTATAGGATAGCCACTGGTAGAGAAATCGTCGCTGAGATGTTGTAACTGTTAAGTTGTGTGTTAATAGAGTAGTTCCCAAGCGAGTCGGGATAAGTAAGGGGCATCCAAGTACGGAGGAGTCGCGACGCAAGGCCTCACAGGGCCGAGTGATCACGCGCGAGGAGCCATAGCAGAGTTTTTGTGAGCTGTGCAGGACCGGTTTGCCCTGGATATTGTGCCTGTCGACTGCTTTTGTGGTGTGGCAATCCTCGCATGACGGCGCTTGTCGCCTACAGGTGGGCAGGGACCATGTAGTAGTGCATATATCGGCTTCGCCCGACGCCGACTCTCTCACAGGCACCACAAAGCCCGCAGTAGTGCGGCATGGTGTAGAGCGCGCGTCGTCTAGGTGGCAATTCTGAGACCGTGGGATGCAGAGGGGTGAAGGTGGACTCACGCTCTTATTATAGCTCGACATCGTACGTCTCTAGCCCACATCTAGCCTTTCACATGCAATACGGAGCGATCGCACGGCGAGTAGCGATTGGGGGAAGAGCGAACCGTGTGCCGCAAGTAGGGCGGTGGCATGAGCGCGCGAGTGACGTGTCCGCATACCACACTAGGGATGAGACGTAGGTGAGAGCGCGTGGCTCTTATTTGACGTAAGCCGACGAGCGAGCGGTGTGCCGACAAGAACCTACTACCGGCGCGTCCCTCCGAGCAACGACAGGCTCTGTCTGATCTTAATCGCGCAGGTATATGAACTATGTATATACAGTTAGGTGTAGTTAGCATGGTGAAGACGGCGATGGAAGTGGCGATCCTGGTATCTACCTACACATCAAGCGTCGCGAGATAGCGCAGTGTTAGTATCAATACAATCAGCCAAAAAGCGACTAGACGCGCGCGCTACAACAGCGTGTGAAATTGAAATAGAAGAGGTTACCAAGTAAATTTCAAGGTACGATATAAGGTGATGGTCAGAAACTCTTCTGTCAGCAAATAGCAGGCCGAAGCGAGGTGGAGATAAGAGTATGTAGAGTGCAACGCGAATTCTGTGAGGATAGGAGGTGGGATAAGAAATTGCCACAAGGCTAGACAGATAAAAGAGCAGACAACGCAACAATATTGACGCGTAATAGAGCAGTCTCAAGAGACGCGAGTAACGTGCAACGGGAGGTGAGGCCTATGTATGTAGCAGATTATAGAGCGAGGTATTGCATGTGAGGTGCGAGTAGACCGGAACCGCGAGCGAAAGCGAAGTGTAAAGGATTAGCCACTTAAGCTAGAACTAAGTATGAGCGGAATGTAAGTTGGTTAGCCCAACATGTGTGCTGTATAAGACGATCAGAGCGCGAGAAATAGCCAACATCAGGCCACATGCGCATGTGGTCACACATACATAATTGATTGGTGTGCGTCATCGCGATATATCTTGATTAGTTTGCATGTGACACTGTGGCAGAGTGCCGACAGGGTACGCCTGCGGGCCTAGCAGTGAGGTGACCAGTGTGATAGGGGCTTAGTGTGCGTCGTTGGGCAGGGGCGGGGCGGCGGCGCCACAGCTACAGCGCCCATGATCCCCAGATAACCGAGACGAAGCGCGCGGAAGTGTGAATAAGAGTGACCTGGTGATGCAGTGCGGATGGTTGGTACGACCGCACGTATGGCGAGAGCCCGCGGAGAGCTCCGCGACGCCGTCCAGTCACGCGTGTGCAAACCCGAGCGGCCGCTGCTTGATTATGTGGTTACTATCAGAACCGCGGCGCCATAAGGGCGGTTTGCTGTAGCTGCGTTTAGGGAGTTAGC